GGAGTGTATATAAAATAAATATAAGGCAGCTGAATTATGGAGGGAGGACATTGGCAGCTGGGGGGAATCAGGAAAGGCACTGTGTAGAAAAAGGTGGTGCTTGAGTTGTGTCTCGAAGGAAACAAGGGAATCTATGAGGTGGGGGGGGGTGAGGAGCACATTTCTGCCATGCAGATTGGCTAAGGCAAAGGAATGGAGACAGGAAATGGAGTGAAGAACATAGAGTCAAGTTAGGCTGGACCACATGATGCAAGAAGAAGAATATATAATGGTGGCTGGAAAGATAGGTTTGGGGCCAGGTTGCAAAAGGCTTTAAGTTCAAATCAGTTTACCTTTGATTCTAGGGGCAACAGACTGTCACAGAGGTTTATTCGGTTAGGTAGTGACATGGTCAGACTCTCAATTAAGGAAAATCATTTCTGCAGCTGGGTGGAAGATGGATTGGAGAGGGGAGAGACTTGAGACAAGAGACCAATTAGAAGGCTATTTCAACGATGAAGGTGAGAGTAGATGAGGGCATGGTCTAAGCTGGTGGCTGAGTAAAGGAACTAGCCACAGGAGATGTTGTGAAGGTTGAAATAGCAAGATTTGGCAACTGGTTGGAAGTGTGGGATGAGAGAAAGTAAGGAGTCTTCTAAATCAGAGGTTTCAGACACGCTGTGTCCTGAGTGCAGCCCAAACCAGATTAAATGTTAAATGAGAAATATTTAACAAAATAAATAAAAATACAATAAAACATAGCGATAGTATTGCATTTTAAAACTAGGTCAATATGTGGCCTGCAAGGCTCTTCATCTTTTTCACTATTTCGTTGCTCCCCCTTCCCATCTGAGTTTGACACCACAGAGCTACCAACAAATAGCAAAACTGACTGACTCTGGTAGAAGCTTCGAGTGGCACTAAAACAGGAAAGGGAAGCAAAATCAGACACAATCTGGGTCAAGAGCCCTTGAACAATCACAAGTCAACTGCTGGCATTTATTTTTGACTAAGAAGTACCGAAACCTTTATTGGCTGATGTCTCCATAATATCCCTGATGTTTGCACTTCCTCCACTGGCACAAATCACAGTCTATACCACCCTTTTCATCCCAGAGGATTCTTGTCTCCGTCCTTCCAGAAATGCTTTCTGGAGTCTCAACCCTATGTGCTGGAGGCCTTTTTCTGACTCTTTTAGTATTTCATGAATACCAGGCTTCTTTTAGGCTGCCCATCTGTTACACTCTGGTTTCCATGGGTAATCTGGCTCCTTTTTGGGTCATATACACATCCCTGGTATCTTTTATACCACTTCTCTCATGACAGTCATCTCTGGCAACATGCTGCAGCTCACTTATGCCTACTGGATGCTTTTACAGTAAGATCTGGGTTACCTGCCCTTCTGATTCTTTGAAGATATAGTACCCTCTGATTTGCAATCACACAGCAACAAAGGGACAACACCAGTGTTTAAAAGATGGGCTTTGGTGACAAGGAGCAGTTTGGGATCATCAAAAAGCAACGAGCAATTTTCTGAAGTGCTGCGCAGCCCATTTTCCTCCTCTAATTCAATTCTGAGCCCTGCTTACTGTGTAGCTAGAGACAGGTAGATCCTGAGGGAGTAACTTAATAAGCTATTCAACCAAATGCTACAAACTGGACAAGATGCATTCCACAGCCACTTGTTTTTCTGTGGGTGTGGATTACTAGCCCCCATCTTTTTAAATGATCAAGGGCCTCACCTATGAGGGACCTAGAGCGCTCCAGGGCTTGATGTAATAATCATCATGTAAAGTCTATATTCAAGTATAGAAAACTCTGACTTCTACATATTTACTTAAAACCCACGATGAGCAAGGCACTGTCCTAGGGATACCAGGACAAAAATGAAATTGTCCCTGTTTTCAAAGAGCTTATCTTCTGCTAGTGGAATACAGTTTGTACAAGTACAATGTAATCTGAGGAAAAGGCAAAAACTTAAAATGCAAATATCTTACCTGATTTGACTGTTTCTTCTCCCCAGTTTTTTGGGTCATCAAAAAATTCTTCTAGTCCTTTCCTTGGCAAAGTGGTATGAATTAATTTATACTGGTGGAGGGGTGTGATGTTGGCTGTATTCTCGTTTAACAAACTGAGAGTAAATCTGGATATGAGTACAAAGAAAGGCAAAAGACAATCTGTGCTCTCAAGAGAGTGACAACATGCAAACAGCTATATACAAACCAGATAATATATGGGGTAAATTATAGATAACTTCAGAGGGAATGCAATAGGATTAAGGAAGACTGAGAAAGTTTTCTTGTAGAACATACGATTTTAGCTAAGGCTTGAAGAAAGCCAGGAAATCCAGGAAGCAGAGGTGAGGAAGAAGAAATTTCTTAGGTATGGAAGACAGCCAGTGAAAATGTCTGGGGTCAGGAGATGGGAGTTTTGTATGTGAGAAACAGCAGGGAGGCCTGTGTACTAGATTAGATTGCAGAGTAAATGGGAAGTTGGAAACAATACTAAAATGAAGAAAACTAGAAAGGTAGGAAGGTACCAGGTTATGAAGGGCTTTAAAAGCTAAACAGAATTTTATATTTGATCCTGGTGTTGGATTTTATTGGACATTAGGGTTTACTGAATAGAGAGATGGCATGGTCTGCCCTGCACTCCAGGAAGATCAATTTGACGGCTGACTGGAGGATGGAATGGAATGAGGAGAGCAATGGGGCAGGAAAACCAAAGAGCAGGCTATGGCAACAGTCCATGCATGATTAAACTGGGTCTTCACCAAGGTGGTGACAAGAGTGTCAGAGAAGAGGCCATACAGGAGAGATGTTACAAAGACAGAAACGACAGGGTTCAGCAACTAATTGGATGTGGGGGAGAGGGGGTAAGAGGGAAAACAGTTAAGGATGACATCTAGGTTTTAAGCCTGGGTGACTGGAAGCATGGTGGTACACTTGACAGTAACAATGAAGTTAGGAAGAGGGGAGGGGACAGAGGTGGGGGGAGGAAATAACTTCAGTTTTGGACATGGTGAGTTAAAAGTGTTTATAGGACATTCAGTTTGAGATATCTAATGGGCAGTGGGAGATGCAAGACTATAGTCAGGAAAGGTCAGGAGACATTAGAGCTGGACAAGTAGATCTCCAAAGAGATAAAAATTGAAACCATGGAAGCTGATAAGATCACCAAGTGAAACAGTATATACAGAGGGGCAGCTAGGTGGCACAGTGGATAGAGCACCAGCCCTGAAGTCAAGGAGGACCTGAGTTCAAATCTGATCTCATACCAAATACTTGACACTTACTAGCTGTGTGACCCTGGGCAAGTCACTTAACCCCAATTGCCTTAAAAAAAACCAGTATATACAGAAAACAGAGTACATGATAGGGCACTGGGGGACCCCAACTGTTAGTGGTAAGATGTGAAGATCCATTCAAGGAAACAGAGGTGTGGTCATACAGGGAGAGAACTAGGAGCGACTGATGTCAGGAAAACCTAGAGAGAGGAGAGTATCGAGAAGGTAACTGACTGTCAAAGGCTGAAGACAACTTAGGAAGGCTATAAGGACTGGGGCAAAAAAACCCCAAAGCAAAACACTAGATTTGGCAGTTAAGAGATTGTTACTAATTTTGGAGACAGCAGTTTTGGTTTGAACAATGAGGCTAAAGGCCATACTCAAAAGAGTTAAAAAGAGAATGAAAAGGAAGATAGTAGAAGCACCTATTGTAGACAACTTTCTCAACGAATTTAGCCATGAAAGAGAGTAGAGATATGGCTAGCGGGGATGGAGGGATCAAGTGAGGATTTTCTGAGGACAGGTGAGACGTGGACATGTTTATGCTTGGTAGGGAAGAAGCCAGTAAACTGGGAGCAACTGAAGATTACTGAGAAACTAGTAATGTTAGAAGGGACAATGTGTTGAAGACCCCCTCTTGATTCTAACATATATTAGCTGCGGATTCATAGGAGTCACTCCATCTTTCTGAGTAGTAACTTCCACACCTATTTCACAGGGTTGTTGGGAGGAACAAATAAAATATTATTATAAATAATACCTAGAATTTATATAGCACTTCAAGGTGTACAAAAGTACTTTAGCCTCACAAAACCCTGGGAGGTAGGTGCTATATTATTATTTTCATTTTACACTGGGGCAGACGAGGAGGGCAGTTAAAGGTAACATGATCTGCCCCAGTGTCTGAGGCGGGATCTGAACTCAGGTCTTCCTGATTTCAGAATGACCACCAAAACAACGAGGTGAAGAGCTTTATAATCACAAAGTGCCATACAAATTGGTCAAAGTCTTGCCTCCCAGCTCCCCAACTCTACCGAGTTCCTGAAGTGAAGGGGGCAGTTTCTTTTCCGCTTTACCATGCCCCTCCCTCAAAAAGCCCAAGGCTGTCGGGCCATTTCCACGTGTTGGTTGGGCAGTGTGGGTTCCTCGGGGGTGACCTGTAAGATCCTATATCTGGAAAATGAGGGAATTGGCCCCCCCCAGACACCAGGGTCTACGGGAGCTACGGGATGATGCGAAGGGACTGCCAGGATGCCCATTCTACAGATGAGAAAGCTGCAGCCCAGAGGAGTCCCTGGACTAGCCCTGGGTCTCCCGGCCTCCCCAACCAGATCACCTACCCGGGGCTGGCGGCGGGGGTCAGCGAGGCCTTCAATGTTACCGGGACCTTCAGGCAGGCTGCAAAGCCCCGACAGAGAGAAACTAGCCGTCCCGCGGCCATTTTCACCCTCTTTCCCCCACACTGCGTTTCCGCCGCTAGTGCGCGCCACTTCCGACTCCTGCGCCCCGGCCCCTCCGGAGCCGCGCAGGGCTGCTGGGATTGTTGAGGACGCCGCCGGCCGCCGCCTCTTATTGGTCAGGAGCTTCCCCTCTCAGCGCCCGTAGCTGACGCCCAGGCCGGCTGAGGCCGTTTGCCCGGCCTCGCCATGGCCACCGCCAGCCGGAGCCTCTCATTGGTCGGACCCGCCGTCTGCGACTCCTCATTGGTTGGAGGAGCCGTCTCGGCTTCCGTAGCGGCTCCAGGCCTCTCGGCGTCCTGACAGAAAGCCTAGAGCGGCCATGGTGGCGATGAGCCTCTTGCTGCGGGCTTCGGCCTCGGCCTCGGCGGCGACCCGAGCCGGCCTGGTCCTGACCCGCCGCGGGCTCGGGCCGCAGCTGCGCCTCGGCGGCTTGCTGACCCGGAGCGTTCCGGGCGCGGGCTCCGTGGGTAGGTGCCGGGCGGCGTGTGGAGGGCCCAGCGGCCCCGCGGTGACCTTGGCCGGGCCTCGGCGAGCCGGGGAGGGAGGGAGGAGCGCGGCGGGGCCGAGGAGCCTTCGAGGGCCTGCCTGTCCACCGTCTCGCGGAGGGACCTCGGGCAGTAACTAATAATAAGAGCAAACAGCTAGCATGCTGATAGCGCCGTAGGCTTTGCAGAGCGCTTTACAAGTATTATCTCCTTCGATCCTACATTACATTGCTGCAGGCAGGTGTTACTAATCCCCATTTTACAACCGAGGAGACGGAGGCAGAGACTTGCCCAGGGTCACACAGCTTGTAAGCGTCAGGGGCAGAATTTGAATTCGGGTATTCATTTACTCCTACCTAGAAGCAAAGCAGTGTTCCCTCCATGGGCCTCAGTTTCCACAACTGAAAAATGAGAGGCTTGGACTTGGTAGCCTTGAAAATCCTTGCCGTGAGCTCACAGTCTGTAGCCCCCTACCCACCTTGGCCGTCCTCCAGACTGAGTTCTTTTCCTAAAATGGGGTGCCTATAGTTGGGCACGAACCTCCAAGTCTGCCTTGCCTCCTGGGGGAGAACCAGCTCTTTGGCTTTGTCAGAAGCCTTCTGGAAGGGATTTTGGCCAAGCCGTCCTTAGCCAAGGGGGCAGAGGTGACCATCGGCCCCTAGTCTGCCCCCAGAACGTCCGTAGAACAGGCTGGACTCAGGTGGTGTCCCCCAGTAGAATATAAACCCCTTGAGGACAGGGATGGTTTTTCTGGCTTGTTTTTATCTTCTGTACACATTATGAATGTAAATGGTGCACGGGAGTGGTACCGAGCTGGCTTTAAAGTCTGACTTGGCCGAGTTGATTTTCCCTTATCATGTACGTTGTAAGATAGTAGCTGAGCTGGAACAAGTCTCCTGCTAACCCAGTCCCTGTTTTCTTTCTTCTCTATTACTTTGTCTTTTTGCTTTTGCTGATTTCTCTGAGATATCAGCAGCTAGAATCCAGGACTCTTGGAATGCAGTGAAATAGAGGACTGGATTTTGAGTCAGTTCAATTCAAGCTAGAGGTCATATCCATCCTCCTAATTTTTTTGTTGTTTAGTCATTTCACTTGTGTCCAACTCTTTGTGACCCCATTTGGGGTTTCTTTGGCAACATACTGAAGTGGTTTGCCATTTCCTTCTGTAGATCATTTTACAGGCAAACAGGGTTAAGTGACTTGCCCAAGGTCACACAGCTATGAAGTGTCTGAGGCTGGATTTGAACTCAGGTCTTCCTGACCTCAGGCCCAGCACTCTGCACTGCACCGTGAGCCCATAGAGTTTACGGGGCCTGCCCAAGGTCACATGGGTAGTAAGCAGTAGAGTTGGGATTTGAACCCACATTCTCCACTTATATTTTCAGTTTTCATGCTCTTTATCTACAGTTTACAACTTTAAATATTTCACCCAGGTTTTTTTTTTTTTGAGTTCACATAATGTATTCTTTAGTGTGGAATTGGCAGGGAGTCATTCAGTGTATTTAAGGACCATGTTAAGAGTGGTGAGCTGAAAATTGAGTAGACAAGGACAAAAGTAGGATGAGCAGAGTTTTAATCAAGATGAAGGCAAGTTAAGGTTGTACAAATGTGTATGTGTAGTTACATTTAAATCTTCCTCCCGTGTACTGTTGGGATTGCTGAGATGCACTCCCTTATTACACATACTCGCCAGCAAGCCCTGAGTTTACTCGGTTCATAGGGATGGGGTTTTGCCCAAGTGAGAAGTATATAATAAAATCCTGGCCACCTAAATATCAAATTGTTTTTGGTGTTCTTCATCTGTTCTGCCTCCTTTGCTCTGTCCTTTCGTTTCTTTAGAATTTCATCATTTATAACTGCCTGCCCACCTACCCACATTTTCATCTTCCTGCTTTTATTTGATACTTGGTTCTCATCCTTCCTATTCTAGGCTTAGCACAGATGGTTTGAACTTTGTGCCTTACTCTGGCCTGAGATATCTGTATGCTCACTTGGCTCATGGCTGCTACTGCTGCCACTGTGTTTAGACATGGCCTGCTATCCCAGGAGCGGCCCTTTCTCAGACTCTTACCATCTGCCCCGCATCCCAGTTCCCTTGCTCACATTGTGGCACAGGACCACCCACAGTCCCAGCGTTTACATTCATGGGCACATGCACATATGTTCTGACGCAAAAGATATTATTGAAGAGAGTGGTGTGTGACCAGAAAAGAGGGCACGTAGGCTGGTCTACTGTAGGAACGTGGGAGGGAGAACAGGGCACAGCATAGTTGGCCCAGTGATGCCAACACAATGGGAAGAAATCTAGGGAAGGGTCCCTATTTTGTTGGGTGAACAGATCCAAAAAGGTTTCAGGTGAGATGGAGAAGGACACAGGATTAAAGAGTAGAGATGAGCTATGATCTGTATGTACCATGGAAGGAAATACCAGCATTCATGTCTCAGATGGCACAGATCCACAGAGTGCTTCCCACAATTCCTTATTTGTCCCTTTTGCCCACCCTGAGTATTCCTGTCTGCCAGTGCTGACCCAGGGAGTGGTTGTATTATCATCACATTTGGGGTTTGGGAAGGAGACCTAGATTGCTAACACTTGGGCAGCAGAACTTGGCAATGGGGTAGATCCAGTGAAAACAGTCTTTGGTTTCTTTATGTTTTGGAGCAGAGGGAGGAGAGAAGAGTGCTACCGGGCAAGTGGGTATGGGAGTGGATAGAGGAGCATGAATCTGGGAGATTTATCAAACCAGGGCCGGGGCTAGCTGGTCCTGGCAATGGGCTAGCTATAACAAGGCTAGCTCCAAAGGCGAACAGAGAGTAGGGACTCTCCTTCCCCAACTTCCTCTGAGAAAAAAAGAAAAGAAAATATCCCTTAAATATGATTCCTGAGAACAAAGGCCCTAAGTGCCTAATGGGTGTAATAATATATTCATGTTCTACTGTGGAATTAGTTTACTAGCCTAAGCCCTCTGGATCAAGGGTCACAGCCTGGACATCTAAGACTGGACTTGACTTTGGCCTTTCTGCCATCCAGCAGGCCGTCTCTCCACTCTTGACACACTTAAACAGTGCCGATTGCCTGCTTTCTTGTTTCTAGCCCCAGTCCGACATAGTGGAGGCCATGGGAAGAAAATGTTTGTCATCAAAGCTTCTGAATTTTATGACAAGAGATTTTTTAAGTTGTTGGTAAGTTTCTTTCTGCTACTGTTTTTAAATGTTAAAACTAAGTACCTGATTTACATAAGTAATGTGCTTTGTTTATCTTAGAATGTGAGGCATTTTTCGGTTTTTTTTCTTGCCTTAGAAGATCCAGAGCCACTTTACAGAGACGTTGATGCTTCAGTAATTGTTAACACCTCCTTTTAAAGAGGAGTTCCTGTGGAACCCTCAGTATGAAATAATATAAAGTAAGATTTCATATTCACACCTACCAGAATTACTTAACGTATGATTCCCTTACTTACTCCGCTCCCCTGGTGCATCTAAGGCAGGATGCTGTTTTACAGAGATTTTATTCACTTTTCAAGAACACATCTTTTAGGCCTCATTTCTGAAATATATAGAGAACTAAGTCAAATTTATAAGAGTACAAGTCTGTCCCCAATTGATAAATGGTCAAGAGGATATGAACAGGCAGTTTTCAGATGAAGAAATCAAAACAGTTTATAGTCATAAGAAAAAATGCTCTAAATCACTATTGATTAGAGAGATGCAAATCAAAATGATTCTGAGGTACCACATGACACCTATCAGATTGGCTAACATGACAAAACAGGGTAATGAAAAATGTTGGAGAAGATGTGGGAAAATTGGAATACTAATGCATTGTTGGTGGAGTTGTGAAGTGATCCAGCCATTTTGAAGAGCAATTTGGGGCTTTGCCCAAAAGGCTGTAAATCTGTGCATACCCTTTGACCCATCAATACCACTTCTAGGGCTGTATTCCGAAGAGATCATAAAAATGGGAAAAGGACCCACATGTACAAAAATATTTATAGCAGCTCTTTTTGTTGGTGGCTAAGAACTGGAAATTGAGGAGATGCCCATCAATTGGGAAATGGCTGAACAAGTTGTGGTATATGAATATAGTGGAATACTATTGTGCTATAAGAAACGATGAGCAGGCAGACTTCAGAAAGACCTGGAAAGACTTGTATGGAATGATGCTGAGTGAAGTGAGCAGAACCAAGAGAACGTTGTACGCAACAACAGCCACACTATGTGATGACTAATTTTGATAGATTTAGCTCTTCTCAGCAATGCTAGGATCTAAGACATCTCCAAAAGTCTCATGATGGGAAAATGTTGTACATATCCAGAAAAAAGATCTGTGGAGTTTGAATGCATATTTTGGTTTTTTTTTCCTGTTTTATTTCTTCTTTCTTGTGGTTCCTCCTACAGGTTCTAATTCTTCACGATGTGACTAATGTGAAAATATGTTCAGTAGGAATGTGTATGTAGAGCCTATATCAGATTTCATGCCATCTTGGGGAGGGGAGGGAGGAGGAAAAATTTAAACTCAAGAAAGCTTATAGAAGTGAATGTTGAAAACTAAAAATAAATTAATTTAAAAAACCCACATCTTTTATTAGAAGTGAAATCACACTGATAACAATAATACCAAAAAGAACAGGCGTTGCATCTGAGTGTGATCTAGTGTAAAGGGGGTGGGATTGGAAGCAAGAGGCCTAGATTTTAGCCATAGCTCCTCCACTAACTCACAGTATGACCTTGAACAAATTGCTGAACCAATCTGTGATGTCTTCAGTTTTCTCATCTGTAGGATGAAAGTAATGATGGTTGTACCACTTACCCCACTATATTGTTGTGAGGAAAGTTTTGTATGCCATAGAATATTATCTGATTGGGAGCTTTTGCTAATTGAAATGAAAGATCACATTTAAATTGCAGTTCAGCTTTCAAATGATCTTTTGCCTTCCAAGATTAAATTATAGTGTATATACTTCCTGCTTTAAGAAAAACAGTATACTAAGAGAATAAATCAGGCAGTGATTATTTGCATTACAAACATTACTTATTATAATGATATTTATTATTTTATATATATGTATATATATATGTATATATATATATATATATATATATATATATATATATATGAAAATTGTATTCAGGTTTTTCTTAAATATGGAAGCAACTTATTACATGGGGCAGCGAGGTGGTATAGTGGATGAAGTGCCAGACCTGGAGACAGGAAGACTTGAGTTCAAATCTGGCTTCAAACACTTAGTAGCTGTGTGACCCTGGGCAAGTCACTTCGCCCAGTTTGCCTCAGTTTCCTCATCTGTAAAATGACCTGCAGAAGGAAATGGCAAACCACTCCAGTATCTTTGCCAAGAAAACTCCAAATGGGGTCACAAAGAGTCAGACACTATTGAAATGAATGAACAACAATAAACTTATTGCATATATGATAGGATTTGATTTCTGCAATTTTGTTTATAAAACAGTATAACTAAGTTCAGAGAATTTCATTATGAGGTCTAATGCAGGATGATGAAAACTGGCAATCATAGCTCTTAGAATATCTAGAAGGCCTGGAGATGCAGTGATAGGTATTTTTGGAGGGAGTTCCTACCCTGAGGTATCACAAGATTGTTGGAATGTTCACTTTTCAAGTTTAGGAACACAGTTATTTTGTAGAGTGAGGTAAACTGATCTGTTATTTTCATCACTAACTCTGTGAGAGTTGTGATGCCAGTTGAGAGGGTGCTACCTGTGTGCTTAGGACAGGGCCATTTTCAGGAGATACTGTGGGGTCTTTAAGAGCTAATTGATGGTTAAGACCCTTGACTCTCAGCCATTGCTAGGAACCTAATGATTAACCATCTTTTCCCTTGTCCCCCTCCAGCTCTTGTGCCCTGCCAAAAGCCCAACTGCCCTCAGTCATCTCTTTTATCAGGATCCAGTTCTTGTTGTGATCATTCTATTAATAATAACCATAGTCATAGTAAAGTTTACAGACAGACTTTGAGTCCAGGCCTAATTATAAACTGGATGTCTGGGGACCAGCTTTGCTCAGTGGATAAAGGCCCTTCACCGGATAGAGGCTGCCTCTGAAAGTGTCTTCTGAAGCCTTAGGGTTTTGGAATGAAACAAAAGATTGCTTAGTCTTCTTTTGCACTTTTAAAAAAATTTTTAATTAATTTATTTTGAATTATCAACAATCACTTCCATAAGCTTTTGAGTTTTAAATTTTTCTCCCCTTCCTTCCCCACTTCGTGCCCTAAGACGGCACACAATCTGATAGAGGCTGTATGTGTACATTCCTATTAAACATATTTTCACATTAGTGATGTTGTAAGGAAGAATTAGAACCAATCGGAGGAACCACCAGAAAGAGAAAACAAAACACAACAGAAGAAAAAAATAACAAATAGTATGCTTCGATCTACATTCAAATTCCATAGCTTTTTCTTCTTTGTGGATAGCATTTTCCATCACAAGGCCTTTGGAGATGTCTTAGATCCTTGTATTGCTGAGAAGATTTAAGTTTGTCAGTATAAGTCATCCCACAACATGGCTGTTACTGTGTACAAGGTTCTCCTGGTTCTGCTCGCTTCACTCAGCATCAGACCATACAAGTCTTTTCTGAAGTTCATCATTTCTTATAGCGCAATGGTATTCCATTATATTCATATTACACAACTTGTTCAGCCATTCCCCAATGGATGGACATCCTCTTAATTTCCAGTTCTTTGTCACCACAAAAAGAGCTGCTGTAAATATTTTTGTACATGTGGGTCCTTTTCCCATTTATATGATCTCTGGGATACAGCTCTAGAAGTGCTATTGCTGGGTCAAAGGGTATAGTTTTTAGTGAGTCTTAAAAATATATTTGAATGTACTTGTACAAAAGATTTTAATAGGAATAAAAATAATATACCTACCAAGAATTTTAGCATTTTCAGTGGTCAAACACTGAATGGTTTGAAAACATAGAGAAGGAAAGGAGACAGAAATTATTTAGTTTTTAGATTTGATCAGCTTCATAGCATATCTTGCCTTGCCCCTGCTTCTGTTGTTCTGCCAGCTTCCCTTGATCCTTGCTTTTTTCTGCTGGTGGTGCTGAAGGTCACCTTAAAGCCAGTGAAGGGAAAAGCTCAGTACTTGGTGGGGGTGATTGTTGTTATTTTTCAGGGAGTGAGGGAGTGGTGTTGGGGTAGAAGAGGGTCTGGTGAAGCTATATGGAAAGGTATCAGATAATAAATACAAGTGTGACCTAGAAATCCATTATGTGATGCATTTTATTTTCTTTATCTTACAGAGATTTTATTTATTATTGACTGGAATTCCAGTAGCAGTTGTCATAACATTGGTGAACATATTCATTGGTAAGCTTTAAAAATATTTTTATATGAATGTCGCAATGAAAATGGTCTTTAGTATGGTAGTTTGAGCTGACACTTGGGAATTAGATGTAAACAGCTAGCTCTTAGCTGTCTCTATGAATGGAGTGGTGTAGTGGTGGTGTAGTGGAAGAAATCTGAATTTGGATTCAGGACTTGGGTTTAAATTCCTGCTCAGCTGTTCGTTATCTGGGTGTGATGTTGGGCAAGTAAATGATTTAACCTCTTTGGTCTCTTTTCTTTATTTGTAAAATAAGGCAAGTTGGACTATGAATGTGTGGGGTGGTGTTTGGTGTTGGTCAATAGGGGTAAATGAAAAGGAGATTGATCAGATCTGCTACTCATTTTTCCCTTTTGCTTAGTAGCAAATTTTTCTTGAATGAACAGTTTTGTGGTAATTTAGCAGCCATGACTAGAGAGGAAAAGACAACTTAATCACAAAATTTCTATATCTACCAAACTTAATAAGATCTATTGAAGGATATTGTTTCTGGCCAGCTGAGGCAAGGAGATGGGGAGTTTGCAGTGGGCCGTGAGATGTGCATCTCCAGTCTAGCATCTACCAGTTCCCTAGCTAGCTGTCTGTTGTGCCACTTAAGCTTGCTAGGGAGGCAGGCCTTCCATTGGTGTGGGGGGGGGTTGGAATATCCAAGATAAAAGGTCATGTTTCTGGAGTGTGTCAGTGCTGCTTGGCCACTTTTCCTCATTTCCCAGGGGTTCAAGGGCCATGCTGGGTGGGTAGGCAGAGTGTAGTAACCTGCTCCTAGAGGTTTGCTTTGGGATCTTGGAGCATTGTAATTGGTGAGAGGCAGGTAGGAGGAAGAAAAGGACAGGGATTGGGAAAGGGGCAGTGCAGAGAGTGGGAGAGAAGGCTCACTAGCTCCAGAGCTTATTCTGGAAATTTATTGGTCCTTTTCTTGGAGCCCAGGGCCTTACTGCTGCCCTCAGATAGCCATGAGCTCATAAGTGGCTGCCTGGCAAATTGAAGACAGAGGTGCTGTTAAGTTTGTTCTTAGCCTAAATTTCTTGCCAACTCCTAATTTTCCTGAGCTAGATTGTCTTTTCTGGCTAGACTAAGGCAGTTGATGCCAGCCACAGTTATGCACAGGCCTTTGGTTCAGTACTTCACCCATGGGGTTTCTGAAATCTGTGAGCTGGACCAACAGACAACCACATGAGGCCAGAATAGGTCTTAAGATGGACCAGGCACCTCTAAGGCCCCCTCCAGTTCCAGGTTCTCAGGCAGCTGGTGGAGCAGGAGACAGAGGGTTGGGCCTGGAGTCAGGAAGACCTGAGTTTCAATCTTGTCTTAGACACTTTACTAGCTGTGTAACCCTGGGCCAGTCAGTTATTTAAACTCTGTTTGCTTCAGTTTCCTCATATGTAAAATAAAGATAGTAATAGCATCTGTCCGCTAGGGTTGTTGAGGATCAGATGAGATAATATTCATAAAGCACTCTGCAAACCTTAAAGCACTTATATAAATATTAAAACTATTACTATTATTATTGTTATTACACCTATTATCCTATGATCTTATAATACCTTTTCCAGCATTTGTGGAGGATTTGTGATGTAAGAGGGTCAGAACCAGGGTTGAGAGACCTGGGTTCAAATCCTGTCTCTGGCACTTACTAGCTGGTGACCCTACAAGTCATTTCACTTTTATGAACCTTAGTTTCCCTATTTTAAAACAGAGTTAGTATTTGTACTGCCTACCTCACGGGCATGTTCTGAAGAGAATTCTTTAGAAAATTTGAAGCACTACAGGGATATGAATGTTGGTTAATAGAAGATAGAAAACTCCTCCAGGTTAGAAATTTCTCATCTAAATGTAGACTCTTGAGAATCTCTTCCTGCAGTGTTCTTTTTAAATATGAGCTTTCTCCACCTCTACCAATGTAGATCTGCAACCTTTTTGCAAATTAGAATCTTAGAGAGACACCTTCCATTCCCCCAAGCAAGATGAGACTTGAGCCAATGCCTCTCTATGCCTTGCTGTACTTAAAAGATTCTAATTTTACATTTTAAGAACATGCCCATTAAAGAAGTTAGCTGCTATTAACCCTTCTGTGCCAGCACAGCCATCTACCACTTTGGGACAGGTGATCCCACAATTATGAACTGACTCATGGATTGTCAAGATTTTGTAGGCTTGGAAAACATACATGGCTTGACTATGGGTGGTGGTGATGGAATGCCCCACACACTCACAGAAGGACTCTTATAGTTAATTCTGCAGGCATTTATTCTGTGCCTGATATGTGCAGACCAATGCTGAATCGTAGGGGAGATGACACATTCCTTGATTTCATGGGAGGAGAGGACATATGCCCCAATAACAACAATACAAACTAATTCAAATACGTTATTTGCCAAAGGGCATTATCAGGGAGGGCACAAAGGAGCAGGTGGCATTTGAAGTAGGTAGTAATTCCATAGGTAGATAAAAGCCAGGCACATTCTAGGCTTTTGGAACAGGGAAAGAGCACTTCAGGGAGATGGAAGTCTTAGCATCTGCATGAAGTGTCTCCAGTCCAGTTTGGCTGAGAGGAGCAGGGATTGGAATGGTGGTGTGGCCCCAGATAGCAGAAGTTTCAGCTTTATGTACTCAGCTAGAAGAGGCCATTGAAAAGTTTTGAACAGAGGAGTCATGTGACTAGCTCTCTGCAGCAGAAAGATAAATGTGATGTCAGTGGCATGGATTGATTGATGGAGGAGAGGGTGCAGGTGGGAAGGAAAGCCTGTCAGAATTCAGGTGGGTGTTAATGCCCTCAGGTAGCCTGGAGTAAATAGGAGCAGATGAAATGGGTACAAAAGAGTTTTGTAGGTGGAATCCACTGGCTTGTTAATGCTGTAGCGTAAAAGGTGAGGAAAGAGTAAGAGAAAACCCTAGAGTTTCAAACATGGGAGAAAGTGGAAAGGGAGGGGGAGAGGAGCAGCAAGGGAAGAGGTGAGGTAGTACATGAGAATCAAAGACTTCCTGGTGGCATGGCAGATCATCCACAGGGCCGTGAAAGGATGTAGTGAGTGGGTGCACGTAGGCTGCAAGGTAAAGAAATGTACACAGGTTGAGGGACACGGTGGAGTGGGGAGAATGCTGACTTTGGAATCATGAAGGCCTTGCTTTGAATCTTTGAATCCTGCTGAAGGCACTTACTAGCCAGGTGAACATTGGCAAGTCATTTCATCTCTCTGAGTCTCAGTTTCCTCCTCTCTAAAATTGGGGGGGGGGTAGGAGGAAGAGGTCTTGACTGACCTCTAAGGTCCCTTCTAGCTCAGACTCTAGGATCTGATGATCTGTGATCTTGTGATCATCTATGACTTGTGAACCAGAAATACTGTAGAAGGCATCCCCAAGGGGACATCTGCCGGAAGTAGAGGTGGGCTGGTGATGCAGCCAGAATAGATGCCGCCCTGGTGTCCACAGGACATTTAAGAGGTGGCGGGGATGGTCTGCTGCACCTGGGGAAGATCCCCTATGGAAGATTTGGGGAAGGAAATTGAAAAGAGTGGCACAGGATGCAAAGAGAGACCTCAGAGTGATGAGGTCATGGAGCTGTCACCTGTGGAAAGGAACAGAATGATTTGTTATGCCCTTCTCCCACTCCACAGCCGATACTTCATCAAACACCACATTCATGGGGAATTTTGCTAAGGTGCTTTGTCACCTTTGAACCCTAAAGAGTCTCTCATGAAAGCTAAAAAGGATATAATAAAAACATTTCCCATTAATGATTTCTCTCCAGACTGAAATGAGTGAAAAATTTCAGATATATTCATTAGTTATCAAGTCTTGGGAAAGTTGGGCTCTTGAAGTTGCAGTGATTTGATTCTTGCTTAAAATGATGAGGAAATAATACTGAGTTTCTAGTGATTGTGTTAAAAATCTCCATTGTCTTCCACCAGGCGAAGCTGAATTAGCAGAAATCCCAGAAGGCTACGTTCCAGAACACTGGGAGTACTACAAGGTTGGTGCAGAAACCCAAATGTTATAGAGTGTAGTTATTTCAGCTGCTATTTGTTCTGTGAACAGTGATGTTATAGGGATAGTTTATCCATCTTTCATCCCAGCTGGCAAAAGAGTCTTCCTATGGACAGGTCTGTCAGGATATTCCTTCTGACGGCACAGAAACCTTCCGTAGCTGCCTCTGATTTATATAAACTTCTTAGCCTGGCTTTTATGGCACTTCATGAACCAGCACATTCAGGCTCCAACCAAACACTCCTAGTTTTAATTCAGATCTCTTCAAGTCCTTGGTGTTCTAGCCAATGACTAGATATCTTTTATGGGGAGAATCCATTTCCTCCTCATTTCAGTAATAAGCCTTAGCTCCTAGGGTTCTTGTGGGAATTAAATAAAAATAATATTTGTAAAGTGCTTTGCAAGCCTTAAAGCGGTAGAGAAATGCTGGCTGCTGTTATTATTTTTTCTACCTTTCAGGATCTTTTTCTTCTGTCAAAGGTTAGTGTGGATACCACTTCCTTCATGAAGCCTTCCCTTCCTTTTCCTCATCTTTCCCCTCCAAGTGTTCTTTCCCTCCTCATAGTTTCATAGAGCATTTTGCCCACATGACAAATGACCTATAATATTACACGTATTAATGCATATGATATGTCTTATCCTAGTAGAATATAAAGGTGTCTGTGGGGGATCTCTTTAGAACAGGGTCTCTTAAACCTTTTTTGTGTCATGGACTGTTTGGCACCTATGGAACTCTTCTCTTTTTTTTTAATTTTTTAATTTTTTCCATATGCTTTTGAGTTGACAATTTTTCTCCCTTTTCCTCCCCCCCACCCTCCCCAAGACAGCGCACAATCTGATATAGGCTTTACATTTACATACCCATTAAACATTTTCACATTAGTGAAGTTGTAAGTGAAAATTAAAACCAATACGAGGAACCATCGGAAAGATGAAACAAAACTCAACAGAAGGTAAAAATAAGTGATAGCGATTCGACTTCCATAGTTCTTTCTTTGAATGTGAACAGTATTATCCATCCCGAGGCCTCTGGAAATGTCTTAGATCCTCATAATGCTGAGAAACGTTCAGTTTAACAATCTTACTCATTGCATAACGTGGCTGTTATTGTGTACAAAGTCCTCTTGGTTCTGCTCACTTCACTCAGCATCAGACCATATAAGTCTTTCCAGGTTTTTCTGAAGTCAGCCTGTTCATCATTTCTTACAGCACAATAGTATTCCATTACATTCATATGCCACAACTTGCTCAGCCATTCCCCAGTTGATGGGCATCCTCTCAATTTCCAATTCTTTGCCACCACAAAAAGAGCTGCTATGTATATTTTTGTACATATGGGTCCTTTTCCCATTTGTTTGATCTCTTTGGGATATAGCCCTAGAAGTGCTATTGCTGGATCAAAGGGTATGCACATTTTTGTAGCCCTTTGGGCATAGTGGAACTCTTCTCAGAATAATGTTTTGATGCCTACATTAATAATTGAAGGAAGTACCAAATTTCATTTAGGCATTTGTGAAAATAAATTTTTTTTCTCTAGCCAACTTCATTGAGGTTAAGAACCCCTGCCTTAGAGGTAGGCATTTTATCATTTAAGATCAATGATAGACACACATTAAGTGGTTATTATGTGTCATAAACTGCTGACATAATAAATGAATGTTGAATTCAACTGAATTTTTATTTAGATATTAACAAAATGAATAAGACGTTGTAAACAGCATTGTTATGGTTTCATTCTTATTGTTTGTAGACTTTGGTATATTTAAATATGTATATTTCCACTTTTTATAGTTAATCTACTGGTATTCAGATTTTTTTTATTTTAAATATCTTTTAAAATTGCTAGAAAATTCAGAATGTTGTGTTTCCATTTCAAAACCACAGGAATTAAACATGATCTAAAAACCCCATTATCTTTAAATGACTAGATGGATATTAAGATTAACCTCAAGGTACTTTTCTTAATCATTGAACACTTCCCCAAAATAGAAAGGAATTGCACACGTCAAAATATTCTTAGCAGCGCTTCTTCTCGAAGTAAAGAATTGCAAACAGAGTAGATGCCCATTGATTTGGGGTTGGCTAAACAGAATGTGGTACTTGAAGGTAATAGAATATTACTGTAGTGTAAGAAATGATGGCTGGTCTCATGGGGAGAGTTCTATGAACTGATGCAAAATGATGGAGAGCTGGGAAAACATTGTACGTTACCAGTACAACAACAAGGAAAGAACTGACAGCAAATGGCACCCAAAATGCTATTTTCTTACAGTGGCTGTTAAAGCTGGCCCTGGGGGGAGATTTGCAGGTGCCCTCGGCACTGTGGAGGCTGTGAGACCTCTTTGTATCCTTTAGGACTTGGCTGATGTATGGATTGTTTTGCTGAATTTCCTTTTATTCTCTTGTATCTTATTAGAGATGGCCTTCTGGGGAGGGAAGGGGGAGAGATATTTGAGGAAATAAAGTCATGTAAAAAACAAAAGCTATCAATACAAATTTTAAAAATTAATTCTCAAATTTGCCGGCTGATGTTTTAACCCATTAGGATAATTGTTTCGCTGTTTTACGAAGGCACAGGAGGAATTGGGAAGAGCCTCGGGATTTGATTTACAAAAACGAAAGATCGTAGTTTTAAAAATAGTTTTTACGTGCATTATAGGGCATCATACCTGAAAGAATCAAATGGTTATTTTCTTAGTCAAAATGAGTTATATTGGAGAAAAGAAGTAAAATTTAATATTAATTCTTTAGCTGAAGTTTCTTGTCTTTGCTAATTCTTTACTTATCAGGAATAATTTTTTTGAATGTGAAATGAAGGAGTGGATGGATGATGGAATTAAGAAATTAATGTGAACCATTGTCTCTCATAGCACCCCATAAGCAGGTGGATTGCTCGTTATGTTTATGAACCTCCCGAAAAGAATTATGAAAAAACCATGGCACTCCTTCAGCTGGAAACTGAAAAGGCTGATGTGAGGTAAACTGTCGAGGTCCCTAGGTTGGCGGGGAGGGAGGGAATGCCAACTCTGTGCTTCCTCAGCGTGCTGCTCACATACAAAAGGAACAGAGCTGGGTGAAAGCTGTTTGATGACTAGGCCATCAGACTTCGAAAGCCTGCATACAGTGGGGTCAGCAACTCACAGGATAGATCTGGGTACAATAGACTCTGGGCATGGGGAGGAGGGAGGAGGATCTGTTTCAAAGGCTGGTTTTCATTGTATTCTGACCTTGCTGGTTTATATACAACTGATCAATGATTAAAGGATTGAAATAATAAAGAACTCTTTCCACAAGCCCATCTGTCACCATCATCAAGGACATGAGTGCCTGACACTCACCTGGGGCTAAAATAAAGTCCTTTGAAACTCTTGCTACTTATCTCTGCACTTGATATGCTCCGGAAAAAGGGGCAGTAGGGGGCTCTTGTGTTATCCAGATTTAGGCCCTGAGCGAGGCCAGGTGAACCTGAGACCCATCATCCCAGATGGTGGGTAGTGGAGCAAGAGGGGAGGAAAGAAGGGTAACAGACACTTCCAGGACAAAGAACAGGTGCCTTCCTAGACATGGGAGATGGCAGGTGAGAGGCATGGGATGAGTGGGCATGGGTGAGCTGCACTGTCGAATAGTGCCAGTTCTTTTTATGATTGGATAGGCTTTAAGGTTTATTGTTCTTGCAAAGATTGGAAGAAAAGGGTTTGGCCATTTGAGAGATGTCTGAGAACCTGTGCAAGGCCTCAGAATATTAGTCTGGCTAGAGCAGAAGTTCTGTGGAAGGTATAGTAGAAAGTGAAATCAGCTACACCAGTGCAGAGTACAGAAAATACTACCTTGACACCAGTTGATATGCTTTTTAATTTACTGAAGTCAGAAGGATGGTGTGATTGCTGAAAAGATCCATTCCTTCTTGAGCCTCAGAACAGATTGCAAGCTCCTTGAGGGAAGGGATTGTTTTCTTTCTGTCTTTGGATCCCTAGTGAAGAATGACTGAATTTTAATAGTGTCTGGAACAAGAGAAGGAATAACCCTGTTGTGCTCTGCCAGTGAAAGCCCATCTAAACTGTTGGGTTCGATCCCATGGGATATACTTTACAAGATGTCAGTCTGGAGCACTACTGTGGGACCATGCCTTAGGAGGATGAAACCACATGGCCAGGAGTGCAGTGGTGCTCAGTTGATAGTCCATACCCTGTGGAAGAAAGATTTAGGGTGAACATCTGTTTGTTTTAAAAAGTATTTGAAGAGCTAATAGCTAGAAGACAAATGGATTTGTCTTCCAGAGGCCAGAACAAGAGCCAGTAGGAGGAAAGGAGTCACATTTTTTACTTAATATAAAAAACTTCCTGTGGCTAAAACATTTAAGGTTTCTAAGCCTTTAAGGTTTACAAAATGTTTGATATTATCTCCCTTAATCCTCACAGCTCCCTTGTGGGGTAAATGATCTCCATTTAACCAGTGAGGAAGTTGAGACTCAGAATGCTGAGTGACTTGCCTAGGGTCACACAGTAAGTATCTGAAGTGGAACTTGAACTCATGTCTTCCTGATTCCAAGTCCAGTATTCTCCACAGTGAAAAATGGAATAGGCTTCTTTGTAAGGTAGTGTCCCAGCACAGAAACTAAATGATCATTGGAGGAAGTTTTAAAGTGGGATTTGTATTTGTACTTCAGGTAAGGTTGGCTTAAATGGCCTTCCAGTTCTGGGATTGTGTAGAGAAAGCCATCGGAGTTGAGTAGAAAGAGCTCTGGACTTGGAGTCACGAAACCTCAATTCCAATTCTGGCTTTGACATTAGTGGTGACACTTTGCTTAAGTCACTTAGTGACTCAGCCTCAGTTTCCTTGTCTGTAATCTAAGACTTGTGCTACAATACCTCATGGGGTTGTTTTTAAGCCTTAGAATTCTGTATAAACTTGAGCCATTATTGTGAATGAAATAGAATGAATCCGACCATCATTTCATTAATTAAGAAGCATTTACTTAGCACCTGTGTGCTAGACACTATTTTAAGCACTGGGGATTCAAAGACAAAGAAAGGAACCATCCCTGCCCTCGAGGAGCTTACAGTCTATAGGGGAAGGCAATATGTACATAAAAAGATAGAAGATAATTTTGGAAGTGATGAGACTAATAGCCATCAAGAAAAGCCGCATATAGGAAATCATGCTTGTGTTGAGTTTTGAAGGAGTCTAGGGACTGTAAAGAGGCAGTGGAGTTCTTATAGATTTGACAGAGTTCTTTATGTATTTGAGATATGAGACCTTTAGCTGGGAAACTGTCTATAAATTTTTCCCTTAATTTTCCGTTTTCCTTCTGATCTTGGCTACATTTGTTTTATTTGTATGAACCCTTTTTAATTTAATGCAATCAAAATTGCCCATTTTACATCTCACACTCCTCTCTATGTCTTGTTTATTCATAATTTGTTCACTGATCCATAAATCTGCTAGGTAATATGTTCCATATTCTTCACTGTGTTTGTAATATCCCTATTTATATCTATGTCATGTATTTCATTTTGACCTTATCTTGGTAAATGGTGTGATATATTGGTCTGTGCCCAATTTCTGCCATACTGCTTTCCAGTTTTCCCAACAATCTTTTAACAGATAATGAATTCTTATCCCCAAAACTTAAATTTTTACACTTGTCAAACATTAGGTTACTACAGTCACATGCTGCTGTATATTATATATCTACTGTATTCCACTGATGTACTTTTCTGTTTCTTAACCATTACCAGATAGATTTTAAAATTATTTTAAACTTAAATCCTAAAACTTAAATACACAATAATAAAAGAAAAAGAAACATAAACTTAAATACTAAAACTTAATGGAAAATAAGAAAAAAAAGTATTGCCATGTGCATAGCAGAACGTGAGAGGATTCAAATTACACAACAGTTTTGTTTTCAAGAAAGCCTATATAATAAATACTATACATTGTGTTCCAAGCTTTTTGTAAGTTTTCTTTTGTTCTCTGCTGTGTACTTTTTACTTTGTTCTCCCCCCCCTCCCCCCCAAATCCCCCCAAGAAGGCTACAATTAAGCATGGATATGTTTATGTGTGTGTGTGCGTATATATATATATATATATATACGCACACACACACACACATACATATATATACACATATATACTTAGATATCTATAATCATACTCATATATAGATATATACATTCATATGCCTCTAAGACCATATTGTACTTGTTTATCCTCTGTTTCTTTGAAGGTGAATAACGTCTTCTTTCATAGGTACAAGTCTTTCTCTATTTTTCTAAGTCCACCAACCCATTGTTTGTTTCCTATATCACAGCAGTATTCCGACCTTATACTGTCTAGTTATTTTAAGTAGTCTACAACAGTAGTTTCCCTATTTTTCTCTTCTGATTAAATGTATGTTAGTTTTAACTTTGTCTGGACCAGATAGTTTTGATAATTACTACCTTTTAATGTAGTTAAGATCTGGTACTGCTAAACCTCCTTCCTTTTACATTTTTTTATTTGCAGAGTTCATAAAGAACTTTGTCAAATCTATAAAAGTACGAGTCATTTCCCAATTGATAAGTGGTCAAAGGGTATGGACAGGCAGTTTTCAGATGAAGAAATCAAAGCAGTTTATAGTCATATGAAAAAATGCTCAAAATCATTATTGATTAGGAAAATGCAAATTAAAACAACCTTGAGATAGCATTTTACACCTATCAGTTTGGCTTAAATGATTGAAGGGGAAAGCTACAAATGTTGGAGGGGGTGTGGAAAAATTGGGATGTTAATTCACTGTTGGAACTGTGACCTGAACCAGCCATTTTGGATAGCAATGTGGAATTATGCCCAAAGAGTTATTAAACTGCCTGTCCCCTTTCACCCAACACTACCATTACTAGATCTGTTTCCAAAGATGATTAGGGAAAAAAGAAAGAACCTGTGTGTTCTAAAATATTTATGGCAGCAAAGAATTGGAAATTGCAGGGATGCCCATCATTTGGGAAATGGCTGAACAAGTTGTAGTATGTGATTGTGATGGAATATTATAAGAAATGATGAGTTCGATGAACTTAGAAAAACATGGATAGACATGTATATGAAGACCGAAATGAGCAGAATCAAGAGAATGTTGTATATAATAACAGAAATACTGTTTTAGGAACAACTTTGAGTGACCAAGTCATTTTGACCACCATATATACCCTAATTAACTACAAAGCACCTATGAAGAAAGGTGCTATCTGTATCCAGAAAAAGAACTGATAATTAGGAGTGTTTGTTGAATGATTTTACGTTTATGTATATGCACACACATATTTATGTCTAATGGTAGCCATCTCCAGGGTAGGGTAGGAGAGCTGAAAGGGAGGAAAAACAAGGAAAAAACAAAGTTACATGATAATTTTGTTATGTGTTTAAAAGGAGTAGCAAGTTGTATATAATAAATTTGCAGCTTCATGTGCAGTCATCTTTTTTTTTTCCTCCTGTACTATGTTATGGAAATGCTTGTTTTATTTCTTAAGTTCAGAAAAAGTAAAAATTTTTAAAAAGAGTTAGTAGTGAGGAGGGAGAGCTTTCCAAGTATGGAGAACAGCCAATGCAAAGGCTGGAGATGGATATAGCAGGGAGACTGTTATGTGGGAAGAACAGTAAGAAGGTAGGCACGGCTGGACCATCAAGAGTGTGAAGGGAAGTAATACGTAATTGAGAAAGTAAATTGGAACTAGTTTGTGAAGGGCATTTTGAGCCACTGAAGCTTATTGAGCAAGGGTCAGACCTGTGCTTTAGAAATAGTTCTGGTAGCTGTGTGGGGAAGATGGATTAATGAGGGGAAAGACATGAGGCAGGGAAACATATGCTAGGATGTTACAAAAGTCTGGGTGTGAATTGATGAGGGTGTGAACCTTCAGACGGTGGTACCTTTGTAAGGGGAGAAAAAGGGACACTTCTGAGAGGTATGGAGGTGGAGTTGATAAGATGTAGCTAGAGAGAGATTAAGGAGTGAAGAATGACACCTGAGTGAGTAGAAGAGTGGTCATTGGCAGAGATAGGAAAGCCAATGGGAGGGGTGTGTTTTGGTGGAAAGGTGAGGAATTCTGTTAGCATGTTGAACTAGAGCTACCTGTGTTGGTGATGTGGGAGTGGAGTTCAGGAGATAGACCAGGACTTGAAATTTAGAACTATGAGTCATCGGTGTAATTACAATAATTGAACCTAGGGAAACTGATGAGGTCACCTAGATAAGAGGTCCCAGGGACAGAGCCTTCGGTTATACCCAAGTTAGGGAATTTGGATGAAGATCCAGCAAAGGAGATAGAAGAGTGCTCATGTAGGTTAGGAGAACAAGAGAGAGAGGAGTGCCTTGAAGTAGCACAGAGGAGAGAATATTCAAGAGGGTAGGGTGGTCAGCAGTGTTAGATGTTACACAGAGGTAAAGAAGGAGGAGAAATGAGATAGAGAAGTTTTGGTTGAGTGATGAGATAAAAGAAGACAGATTGCAGGGATTGAGAATTGAATAAGAGGAGAGGAATTGGAGACAATAAATGTAGATGCCTTTTTCTAGGAGTTTGGTTGTGAAAGGAAAGAGATATACAGTAGGATAATAACTTGAGGGGATGATAGGCTCAAGTGCCCTATAAGGATATTTTTAAGAAAATGAACCAGTTGATAGGGACAGATTGAAGATAAATGGGGAATACGGGAGACAATTGTGGAGACAGTTTGTCAAAGTATACAGGAGAGAATAGGATCTCACGGTAAGAAGAGGGTTTGATCTTGGTAAAGATAAAGTCCATCTAATCAGGAAAGGAGAAGAGAATTAGAGAGGGAAGGTGATATCATGGGAGTTTTGTGTTGTAGAGTATGGGGAAAGAATGGGGCTCACAAGAATGACCTTTATTTTCTCAGTAAAGTGCAAGGTAAGGTCTAGTACAAAGAAGATGGGGATGCTCTGGGGAAATAGGGAGAAAAGAGCAAGGATAATAAAATTTACAATTAAGATTTTCTGTCTCCATCAGGGTGCTCCAGATAGGGAGTTAGTATAGGCATAGGATGACCTGGTTAAGGAGGAAGAAGACTTTTCCTTTTTTGGCTTGACATAGATTGTTGGGTAGGAATAGTGAAATCACAGACCCCATGGAGATGGCCATTATCCCAGTGAAAGTGACAGTGACCCAGATAAGGGTATCAGTAGTGGGAACAGAGGAGGGAATGGGTGGAGGAGATTGTTTGACGATAAAAGGTTGCCTGAATGAGCAGAAGTTAAAAATTACTCTCAGATTTTTTTGTGTAGAGTGGTCTACAATTCAAGCATGTGTGCGTCTGTCCTTGGAGAGAATCAGGTATTTTTCATTTGTATAAGACTAGCTAGTGATTGTACTTTGTGATGAAAGGAATTGTTTACATTTGTAATGGGAGTTCTCTCAGTGCTTGAAGTTTAATTTAAGGATTCTGTTTCTTACAGGTTGAAATGTCTGGAAACAGAAAAACTTATGCGAGGAAGAGGGGATGGACCCTGGTTTCATTACCCAACTCTTGATAAGGAACTTATTGATCGTGATCCTAAAGCAGTCCCTGATCATTAAGCTATTGATTCTACACTTCTGATGTATACTCTCTTTCAGGGGGGTGTTAAAGGAAGAAATGCATACTGTATTGTTGTTTTCTGAATAAAATAGCCGTTTCCCTTTTGGTCTTGCAGTTAGTTTTCAGTGTAGTTTGAGAGAATTGCTTTTGTTTTTAAGGGATGGTTTTCTTTTTTAAGAAGGTCATGAATATGGCAATTAAAATTGGAGGAGATCAAAGTTTGTGAACCTCCACAGGTATTATCGTTTGAAAGTAGATTCTACAATATGCCCAGTAAATGAAAGTTGTGGACAGGAAGTATAACCGTATCAAAAATGACTTATGTACCTGAGCATATAGAATATAGGCATCTTGGTTCACCATTGATAGCTCATCTATTTCAGTTGGCATTGGAATTTTTAGCCTGGATTATGTAAAAGATTAATGCCTTAATAAATCAGAAAAATGAAAAACTTCAGTAAGCAAGTCTTCTGGAATTTGACAAAGTTTTTATTTTTTTACTTTTTATAGCCAAGAAACTTTTTGCATCTCTTTAAAGAATGTGAGTTTTTCAAGGATCTTATCTTAACTATTGAGATATAATAAAAATCATTACTGGTAAATATTAAAAAGAAATTGGTGTTAAGAGTAGCTTAAAGTAAAGAGTTTTAAATGATAAAAATTATAAAATATATAAGACAAGAACTATTTGTTAAATTGAAATGCCAGGCCTAGACATAAAATTTTTAAAAAATTTCAACATCTAAAAATTCTCTTTAAAATAATTTAAATATAATTTGATAGGCTCTTTGTACAGGACAAAATTATTTTTAAAAAGTCAAGATTTGAGTATTTTGGTAAACATTCCTTAAAAGTATTATATTGACTAAGACCTCATTTGTTAGACTCTGACTCAGTTAACGTCTACTACTGAATGAAGACAGAAACCAGATTTAGTCACCTTGTTTTCCTTATAAACATAAAAATCAAAAGTAATCTTTTTAGCATGGGAAGACTCATGTGAACTGTTGCAGTATAGCGTGAACAGAGACCTTAATGTAAATAAAAACAAAAAGGACAATACAAGTCAGATAAGTGAACACAGGCGAGAGATGACGTGGACAGTGTTGGTTCCGAATGACTAAAGTTGTAGCACATCTTTCAACATATAAGAGGAAGGTTACATATGCTATCCACTGAATCATATCTATTTTAATTCCTCTTAACAATAAGTTCACGTGGCAGGAGTTGGGGAGGCGGTTGGAAAATAATGTTTCCATATTATCCAAACTAAAAGCAAAAAGTCTTTTTAACTTCAATCATTCAACAAAAAAAAATTTCTTTTAAAGAGTTATGTGCCAGGCATTTTGTTAGGTGCTGCGGTTATACAAACAGAAGTGAGACAGTCTCTGCCTCCAGGGAATTTCCTTCTGAAGCATCAGTCCTTGGAGAGCTGCCCCAGCACATGTGCTTTCTGCTGAAAGTGAAGTGGGTCTGCAATCTCCTCAGTTTGGATGTTCTCTGTCAGAATATACAGTTTATAGCCCATCCATACCTGCCTGTCCGGTGCTGCTCCTGCCTGTGAGCGAGCTCTCATTAATTTGGCAGGATGTATCTAAGGCTCTCCACGCCCCGGAGGCTGTTTCGATTTCTCCTGACCTTTAGAGGATGCAAGTGGCACGCTCCATCTGCTCACCTGTCATCATCGGTCACCACTGACACATGATCAGCCCATTTTTCCCTGTGAAACATTTTCTTAAAGATGGCTTTGACTCCGCATCTTCAGATAGCCTTCTCCATTTGTGTTAAAGCCTACCTTCTCCCTCCATGCGCCTCTTCGGTGCCTTCTACGATAACTCATTTTCAGTTCTTCAGAGACTTGTGTCCCTGCCTTACAACTCTGATTGGGTGTTAGATGGGGGTTACTAAAGGAGCTTTGCAATTGCCGAGGGCGATCCATCCCACTTCTGTCTCTGGGTCCAGCTCGTGGTTCATATGTGCTCTTGGCCCCAGGTGTACATACCGATGGACAAGCTGTTGTTCCTCCAACTGGATGTCATAATCCCTGCAGTAGACATCCTGACTCACGCTGAACAGTTTGGACAAACTCTTCAGGGGTGACGGATCTCTTCTAGAGGTTCTGCAATGTCCTGGGGCTTCACACACCCGGTGCAGTGTCATCTGCAAACAACAGCTGGGGGACCTTGCCATGTGCAGGGAATCTCTCTTTGACCTTGACTCTATGTTGAAACTCTTCCATAAATATGGCAGTCCATCCCAGCTCTAGTGATTCCCCTCTGAGGTTACCTTCCATCCACTCTCTCTACCCATGTATATACTTGATGTCTTCCCTGTCAGAATGTAAGCTCCTTGAGGGCAGGGCCTATTGCTTTGTTGGCACAGCCCCTGGCACATAGTAAGTGCTTTATAAATGCTCGTCAGTTGATTGATTTTATGTTTCAGATGATGTTTATGATCAGGGTGTGTTTGAACAGTTCTCTTAAATCTTTCATGTACCCTTGGATGGCCACTAGGTGGAGCAGTGGACTGAATGCTGGACCCTGAGTCAGGATCACCCGAGTTCAAAAGCAGCACGCAACTTACCAGTTGTGTGACCTTGGACTCATCACTAACCTGTCTGTCTGCCTCAGTTCCCTCAATCTGTAAAATGAAAATAATAGCACTTGTTAAGTTTGTGATAATGTTTGTAAAGTGCTATGTCAATGCTAGCTGTTATTTTTATGTGTGGATTGGGAGGTACCTTGTTGAAAGAGCCTCTAAGGCAGGATTTTACTGATTCAAAGGCTTTTTCATAATCAACAAATATCAAACACAGTGGAATCTTATATTCTCTGCATGTTTCAGTCAGTCGTGCAGTGATAAAGATGTGATCCATTGTAGAGTGATGTTTGCAAAACTGTTTCCTACAATGTGGGTGTTATTAAGAAAAAAACAATACGCTCAAACTTAATTGTGGTTGTTTATTGTACGCCCAAAAGAAGTGGCTTTGGAAATGTTTTGTCTTCATCTTACCTTTTTAAGACTAAAATGTAATTGTATAAAAATCTGAACTGTTTGAAATGTTGCCTGAAGTAGCAATCAAGATTTGTGTCAGCAACTTTTCCTCAGTACAAGGAAGGAATTTCAAATAATGTGAGTGGTCTAGGACTGCACAGGTCTGCCAGGTGACATAGTGCCCGAACCACAGATTGTGAGTTGGAAGGGACATCTCAAGCCTGTCGGGAGTGCCTTCTGCAGCATCTGAAATAAGTCATCATTTGGGCTGGACCCAAAGACCTCGACTGAGGGAAGAACTCATCTTTTCTGTCTAGTAATGAATTTGGGCAGGAGCTTCCTCTTATCCATTTTTGTTCTCTCCTTTCCAGTCCAAAGATCATTCTCCTTAACAAAGAAAACAAAATCTCATTGGCTTCCTCTGTCATTAACTGATAAAGGAGTTACTTTATATTCATTTTACATATAATCTCTATATAAAATATACATACATGTTTACCTCACTGGAGTGTAAATTCCTTGAGGGCAGGGAATATTTCACCTTTGTCTTTGTATCTCCAGGGCTTAGCACAGTGCCTGTCATATAGTGAGTATGTAATAAAGATTAATTGATTGCCCAGTTAAGTTTTTTCCTTGGTAACATTGCCATCCAAGACGTATACTGGTCCTATATTCTCTCAGTATGGCAAGCACACACCATTTTTGTTATCACGATCATTTCTGGATAGACCTCCTCCCTTACCCTTTCTGCAGAATCAAATTAACAGTAATTATGTCTGACATTGTTTATAGCTATGTAGCATTCTATCTGAGTAGTTCCCTACCCCTCTGCCAAGAGGAGGAAGGTATGTTTCATGATCTAGTTTCTGGAGTCAGTGCTAGTTTTTTAATTATACCAAGTTCAATTTCCTTTTTATTGACTTTTGCATTTACATTGTTATTGTGTATGTTCCGATTCTGCATATTTATCTCTGTCAGTTTATACAAATCTTCCCATGTTTCTCCATCATATATTGTATAATTATATTTATGACCTTCATTATATAATTTCTTTAGCCATTCCCAGTCACTAGGTGCCCTCTGTTTCCCTTTCTCTGCTCCCACAGAGGATGATTCTGTGAACATTTTGATCTACTTTGGGCCTTTGTTTCTGTCTTTTGTTGTCCTGGTGGTGGCCTTGTCTTTATTCTCCAGTGTCAGGTCTTACAGAGTTTCAGGACCTGTGACAGGATGCAACTATGCACACATATCATTCACCCTCCCATCATCTGCCTTTGCTTCCATCTTCTATGTCTTTTTTTGTCCTGTCCCAAATAAAAGATATTTAATCAAATAGCATAGCAAATGAAGTGACAACCCAAGAGTCTCTCACATGCAGCAGTAAGAGTACAATGCAGAGAATGCAAGGAATAAGAGGCATGCGTGGACAGCATGTATGCAGGGAAAATGCAGTTGAGTACAACTCTGTGGGGTTTTCTTGCAAAGATACTGGAGTGGTTTGCCATTTCCTTTTCCAGTGGCAAACAGGTTAAGTGACTTGCCTTAGGTCACACATTAGGAAGCTTCTGAGATTGGATTTGAACTCAGGTCTTCCTGATTCCAAGCCCAATGCTCTATCCACTGCACCACCTAGTGGTTGTGCATCTTAAAAAAAAAATCTGTTGGTTAGGGAGCTCCCTAACCTATCCATATGAGTTTCTTGAAAAAAATTTCCTCATTTCTTTTCCTCATCACAACTGGTTTTTCTTTGTGTCTTCATATACATTTTCATTCTTGGTAGGTTCCTATCCTTCCTGGGCTGGCTTCTGTAGAGTTTTTGCCATGGTGATCTATTTATTTCTCTGAACCCCATGAAATCTGCTTTCCCATAATGTAAGACGTATGACAAATCTATGCCCAGTTTATTCTCCCTCAAAGGTTTCATCATTTCCATCTCAGCAACTGGTTCCTCCTTATTGGTGAAAATTGAATTTCCTCTTGCTCATTCATTCCTCTTACCTTTGAAGGATGAAAGTATAATTAAGGTGGATCAGTCAGTCAATAAGGAATGATTAAATGTTTATTATGTGCTAGGCACTGTGCTAAGCTCAGTTTCCTCAACTGTAAGACAATATCTACCTCAGAGTTATTATGAGGGTTGAGTGAGATAATATTTGCAAAGCCCTTAGCAAAGTTCTTGGCTTGTGGTAGACGCTATGTAAATATACAGACATATCTTGTTTATTGCGCTTTGCAGAGTGGATTTTTTTATTTACAAACTGAAAGTTTGTGGCAACCCTGCCTTGAGCAAGGCTGTTTGTGCCAGTTTTCTAACAGCATGTGCTCATACCACGTCTCTGTGTCACATTTTAATAATTCTTACAACATTTCAAACTTTTTCATTATTATTATGTTGGCTGTGGTCATCTGTGATCAGTGATCTTTGATGTTACTGTTGTAACATGTTACATTGCCCATA